GTCAACCTTGAGATATGTCAAACAACACTTTACCAACCAACACTCGTTCGTTTGTAGAACCGCAAAACTTTGGAATGATTTGCTAATGGAAGTATTCCCAAGAACTTATGACCCTCCAAAAAAAAATTCAAATACCTACCTCCTCTCCTTAGGCTTCCTAGGTACGCACGGTGTTCTCCGAACATTATAGAAATTTCCTTTCGTATGCTCCAAGAGATAAAAAAGTAGAGGTCCCCTAAGATATTTGACTTAAAGGAAGTTCCTCAACTCTTAGTTGAAGTTGTCGTCTCTTTCATAATGAATATTGATCAATATGTATGTCTTCAGTAACACTTTTTTTGTCTAGGATCTGAAATTGATGTTCAACTCCTAGGAACTAAAAGTGAGTCAGCTAAGTGCATCACTATGATAATGAACTCAATGGTGTTTATATTGAGTTAATTGCACTATGGTGGTTATATTTTATCAATCAAATGTCAGTTATTATTTTGGTTGCAGCAAAAGTAGCATGTTTTATACGGATCAAATTCACACTGTTTGGCTTGTCTAATTAGCGTTCCCAAACAAAGTCTCAATTTTGATCATATAAAACAATATACTTTTCGATTAAAATTGTTATACTAATGGAATTGAAAGAAATCAACTTCCTATACTATTTCTTACTGATTAATTAAAATACCTTTGATATTGAGTGATGTGACAAAAAGTTGGAAAGTAACAATCTGAAGGTGCCTTCAAATCGGATCTATTGTTTATGTATGTATTCATTTCCCTTTCGAATTACGCTCAAATTTCAATCCATTCAATTTGTAAAGAGTTTTTTTTTCATTCCAGTGGCCAGTGAGAGGAAAGTCAACTCATTATCGGCATTATTCGAAATGGATGTTGGAGAAATGAGAAATTATGGCGTAAGTACTTACTTTTACTTTACTTTTATTTATCGATGGTCTATGGGCGGATGAAATCTCAATAATTTTATCTATTTATGTGTATTGCCTATATTTAGATTGCCATCGCAATTACATTGTGAATTATAAATAATTATAATCAGTATAATTTCCAGTTTATAGTTAACAGTACTAGAGCCATATTCCAACCATCGAATTATTGAAAAAGTATGCCTACCTCTACAAGGTGTTTGAGATTTTATTGCGAAAAACCTAGGGGAGATTCCGCTCAGGAAAATATTGAAAATATATCATATTATGAACATGGGCCAAAAATGCTCGGTTTCCGATTTTAAGACTGGTTAAAAAAAGTCAATGACATTTCAACGATTCATTCATTCGAACTACTATCAGATCTCTACTAGACCAATTATCAGATCCAGAATTCCCAGGGGCATACCAAGCGTAAAAATCGTTTTTTTTTACGGAAAAAAATAGCACCCTGTAGTTTTTATGGGTTCCTTGCTTTCTGAGACACAAATGTGTATAGATTGAGAAACCTCATGAAATTTTAGGTGGAACTAGATGTGTTTTGACCAAAAATTCAGCAATTTTTGAGATTTGGCGGGAAGAAATACTAACTCTGTTATCCTCTTGACTTCTAAGACACAAATGTGCATGAGTTCGGAAAACTCAAGAAAACTTACGTCGATTTAGATGGTTTTTATACGGAAATTCAGCAATCTTGAAATACTAACTTTGTTATCAGTTCGTTTAGACACCCGAATGTCTGTACTGGGTAATTCATTAAGAATGGAAAATCTCTGAACTACAGATAGTAAACAAAAAAATAATGAGATTTAGCCCAATATGCCTGATGAGAATGTTGCTGCTTTAGGAGATACAGGGTGTTCTAGGGGGAGATTTTATTCCAAAATTTCACAATAACTTTGTTAGTTTCAACAGCATGAACATGTAATGTTGTATACCTAGGTTTTCTGACATGAGGAATATGAATTTGCAATTTATTTTGTGACTGCTCATAGAGGGCGCTAGTCGCACTCTGTTACTTCGATAATTTACATCATATTATCTTCTATGTCAATTCATTGATGATCAAAATAATTGGAAAATCTGAAGGCTCGTTCAATATCACATGAAAAAATGTACTCATTATCAAATTGTCTAACTTCAACGGTTTTTGTGTTATTCGCTCTTGAAGAGATTTATGTTTCAATTTTAACATTTTAATAATTATTGTATTTATCAAATTAAGAATTGGAAATCCCTGAACTACAGATAGTAAAAACCCAAATATAAAGATTTAGCCCAACAAGCCTCATAAAAATATTGCTAGTTTAAGAGACATAGGGTGGTTAAGGAGAAAATTTCATTTCAAAATATCACCATGTTTTTAGTCAAATTTGTTTCATTGTTATTCTTGTGATGATACTACTGTAATATATTTATGCCAGCAACAGTTATCATTTCATCGTTTCCAAATCGAAATATTCCGAAAATGGAACAGTATCGGGTTTTACCAAATGCACCTCTTTTGTGTAGAATTGAATGATGTTCAAGTTCACATCAAATTTGGATTGAAAAATCTAACCTCACTCGGCCTAAATGAACCTTCTTCCTAAAAAGACAGTTATTTTTTCAAGGAGGAAGGAAAATATCCCTTCTGCATGGAAAGGACAGTACTTTTCCTAAACCATCTAACCTTAATCGGCCTAAATGAACCTTCTTCCTCAAAATTATATTTTTTGGAAAATCACTTATTGAGAAAACAGAATTTAAAAAAGCCGACCGTCGCAAGCATTGAACCCGGGTCGCCGAAGTGAGATTCAAACGCACAGTCAACTACGCCACGAGTCGTAGTAAATGTGGTGACAGTATTCAGCATTAGAAATGTATTGTTGTTCTCGGTTTTCAATAAATAGGTGATAGTGTTTCATAATACTTACTCGAATACATAGCTTTATACCAGCAACAGTTGTCACCTCATCATTTTAAATTGAAATATTCGGAAAACAGAACACAGTATCGTGTTTCACCAAAACCACCTACCTTTTTGATGTTCAAGTTCACATTCGAAATTTGATTGAAAAATATAACCTCAAAAGAGTTATGTTTGAAACTACTCGGTACGAACCGTGTAACTAGCGCTCTCTATGACAGTCAGATATAAAAATGAATTTATGCGATGTGTCAGCTTTTGAAAATACATTCACACAGAATATCATTACGATGTTGCCAGTAGTTTCGACATAATCGTAATAAATGTGTAAAATAATCATTTTTTCAACACCTTGTATCTCGAAAACGGATGCCGTCACGAAATTTTTTTACTGAGCAAACCCAACGTATTTCACAGTGTTCTACCTACCCTAGCAAGGAGGTCAGGTTTTTTTGAAACACCCTGTATGTTTATAGGAAACATCTTTTTCTCTTTCTCTGAGTCTTTAAATAATATATCCTATGAACATAACTGGAGAACATACATTCTATGATGATGATAATGGAATATTCTAGGAACGGTCCTAGATGAAATGTTCTATGTAATATTCTCGTAAAGCATTCTACGCACATTCCGAACATCCTCATCATATTCTATGAATATTATTTGGAATATTCTGTGAGAGGTATGTTGGGAACGTTGTAAAACATTTATAGAATATTCTGTGCTGTCTGGGTCACTAGGTAGGTTCACAATTTCACCACCCAGAGCGTGGGGCCCGATTCTCGAATCTGTAGGAATTCGATCCTATAGGAGAATGATTCAATACTTTCAGTTCTCATAGAAAATGATAATTTGTCATGACACCTATTCTTGAACCAGATGGAATCGTTCTTCCCAGGGTATTGAAAAAGTGCCGTCGCAGATAGATTCTTGAACTGACATGAATTCACCAATGAAACAAGTGCAGTTTATGTTGGTAACTGGTGGATGGATGAAATAAAATGTTGACATTTCGATTTTGACTAATTTTGAGGTTATATTATGATATAATTTTGCGACGGTGAGATTATTCTGTATCACTGTATTGTATATTTACTATATTTTCTCTGATCGAAATGAATATGGATACAAACAATATTTAAAAACTACGAGGTGGTAGTAATAGCAAAGAGCAGAAAATACTTTAATAGAAGTAATGGAGGCCTCTGGGGACTTGAGGAAAGGAAAATTTCACCCCCAATTCACTTATAAGGATTCAAAAGTACCTATCAATTCTCTTGTAATGGTTCTAGGCAAAAACCTCCTTCTTGGTCTTCTAGCAAGGATTTCATCCACTTCCAAATTTTGTAAAGCCTCTAGATGATCTATTTCATCTATGTTTGCCATGTTTTGCATTACATATGTTTTTCCGATTTCTCACTAGGGTTCAGTTCCCATCACAAATGAGAATAACTTCGTATTTCATGAGTGTATCCTATGGGAAACGTGTTGTTTCCATGGATATACCATGGGAAGCAGGTCTTTTGAAATGTGCTGGAATAGTTTCCATACAATAGTTCAAGAATACATCATCTCAAATTCCCCTGGGTAATATCGAGTTTTTCCCATGGAATTCGTTCCCATGGGAAAAACTTAGAATTTGCCTTGCGAATTCACACTTGTTTCTCATGATCACTAACTGTAATGACGAATGAGGGATAGGCGATGGGCTAAAAAACGCCTAAATCATCTCACTCTGATGGATATAGAGCATAATTTGCTGAAAGAAGTTATTGAAAGTGTCATCTCTATATTTGCTCATATTAAATTCAGAAAAGTTTATTTGTAATAGTTTCGTTTTATTTTATTTCATACCCTAAACCTGAGAACCTAAAGCAAACCAAGGGCCCCTTGACATAATTTGATACAGGCCCCGCGCTGGCTTACACATTGAAATGTGCCGATTCAGTGCGCGGTAAAAGCTGACGTGCCGACCGTGCCGAGTCGAGTCGACCGATCCGAGTCGATTCAGTGCGCGTGGTCCTTGATCCGGCACTGATGAGAACTGAAAGCATATTGGATCATTCTCCTATAGGATCGAATTCCTACAGATTCGAGAATCGGACCCCTGGGTGTCCAGACTTTTTGGATTTGGATTCGCGAATACTCACTTGCCCTGCTGCTGGTCGTCCTGCTGGCGGTAGAAGCCCGCCAGGGGCTGCGCGTGGCCGACGTAGGGGCTATCGAAGACGGGCTGCGCGGTCCTTGGTGCGGGCTGCGCGATGATGATCATCGCAGTGGGCTGGTTGTTTCGCTGCGTGGCGTACAGCGCCCGCTGGATCATCTGGATGATCTGCTGCTGGTGGAAGGGGTGCAGCTGGGAGGTGGCGGCGGGCAGTTGGAGCTGAGGGGGGAATAGAGATAAATTAGGGGGCTTAATCATGGCGGAATTGAAAAAATAAGTCCCTGGAATCTTGCTACTGAATTTTGGAACACCCTGTATGTATAAACAATATCAATTCTATCTTTTCAATGATTCATGAATTAATCGCGGTGTCTATCTACTATCTATGTTCTTTCGAGCGAGCTATGTGGCCGCAAACGTGCGAGATATCAACTGGAAGAGCGAAATTATCATTTTCAACCTATATTCTGCCTCTTTATAGCATATTCCAGAGATGTCGGTGATTCCATAGCTGCTGGCGAGCAGTGTTATCACGTTATCACTGGAGCTGATCCCACTTGATCCTAAATAAAAACGAAATCGGCAATTTTTCAAATTCCCCCTGTATCTCTGAAACGAATTAAGATATCAAAATTCCAATTGTACCATTCGAGGTTTCTCTAAAATCGAACCCGTAACATGTGTATCGATTTTTTGATAACTCCTTCAGTTACTGAGATAGCCCATGAATACGCCCAATTTTGCCCACCCTGTACAACAGCACAATGTGATAGCATGCGCGAATTAATGAATAGCTGAAAAACACGATTCGTATACCAAAATAAGTGTGAAAAACTATTTCAATCATTTGTAAAAAAATAAGAGAAGTGAGGTTGTGTTTCAATGTTTCACCTCCAATGTCGGTCATCTGACAGTTCTTGTGAGGTTATGTAACGGATTTCATGGGTGCGCTCAAAATTCGGTCCAAATCAATATTTTTAATTGACCCAGCCACTACTTGATGGAAATCTCAAACACACGACATGTTTCGCTAACACAGTAGCTTCATCAGATATATAGGTATACTGATATCAGATATATACTGGTACATTTTAATTCCATAAATTTCCATTGTTCAGTTCATTGTACCAGTATATCACCTGATGAAGCTACTGTGTAGGCAAAACATGCCGTGTGTTTGAGTTTTGTGGAAGTCTTATCGTTTGTGAAGTTTTCAAATCAATAGTCTCGTCTAAGAGTACGAATCAAGTTGGACCAGCAGTGTCTAACACAGGCTGTGTCAAGTCATTCGTTCGACCACAGTGGTGATGCCAGGATGGCCAATGGTTGACTCGACTCCCATCAAAAGTTAACGTGGTAACTTTGTGGGCAGGTTTGAAACGTGACCGACATTCCCAAACAGCTGGTTGGTCAAACCGATGGTCAGACTTCATACTGAACGTATGTGCCCGGTCAAACCACAGACTTGACACAGCCACAATAAGCTCAATATTGAACGCAGTGTTAGTCTGAGTGTTGTTATACGTACCATGGGTTGCTGTACGTGCACCTGTTGCAAATTCACCTGTTGCTGTTGCAGAGTCTGCGTGATCTGCGGCACATTCGATGGTTGTTGGTGATGGGCCTCGCCTACTAGATTCGGGTACTGCTGCACTTGGTACTGCACCTCGATCGGGTCGTACTTGATCTCGTTCTTGAACTGGCCGTCCGGCTGGCGCTTTTTGGGTTCGGGTTTGGCCGTCGTCGTAGAACTGGATTTTTGAGCGCGTCTATTTTTCTGATGGTCTTGTCGGGGATCGCGCATGCTTGCCTCAGCGAACAGTAGACAAAGAGCCAGTATCACCTAAGGAAATACAGGTCTCAATAAACTTGTACAATTTCATTAATAATATTGTTCACGCTCTATATACAGGGTGTTTCAGACTTGAATGTACATACGATACTGGCAGATAGAGGACATTTTGACGGTTTCAAATCACCCCCATTGATGTGTTTACCGTCTTTTATAACTGAAGAGACAGGACGTTATCCTGATTTTGGCAAAATCTTCATCCGGTCATAATTTTTGAACCACGTTTTATAATCTATTCATACTTAGTAGAAATATTCCACTTATATCACACATCAAAACTAAATAAAAATCGAGATCAGAATCCAGGTCCGTCTCAAGGAAAAACAGAAAACTCATTTATTTCAAAAACAACACTCTGTATGGCAAAATTCTGTGGATCTGATGTTCGGATATTTGGAAAGAGCAGGAAAAAATTGATAAAGTGACCTACTTATTACGAGCGCGCATCCAATTTGAGAGATGGTTTATTATTATGTTTTGAAATATTTACCCCATTTCGAGGAATTTTCATTGAACTGTGATTCAAAATCCAATTTTGATACAAACAAATAATTTTCTTCAAAGTTGAACGTCATTAGAAGCGAAATAGGTGAACTATTGATAGATTTGTTCGTTTTACATCATAGCTTGTCAATGATTTTGGAAATTTTCGAGGACTCATTTTATACTTCACTATTTTTTCATAAGCTGCAGTGAACTAGGCTGTGCAAAAAATTTTAAAATTCTGACAGATCAAAATCACCAGTGTGATATTATTGGTAACATTAAGTTTATTGTGTTGAGGCATAGTTATAAACACTTTGAAATGTAACAACCCAATAAACAAGCACCAACAATTATCTTAACATTACCAATAATATCAAACTAGTTATTATGAACTGTCAGCATATCAAGATTTTTTTGCACAGCCTACTTTACCGCAGCTCATGAATCAATAGTGAAGAATAAAACGAGCCCTCAAAAATTTCCAAAACCACAGACGTTATTCTGTCGAACGAACAGATCTATCTATTTCACCCCAATGATGTTGAACTTTGAAGGACGTTATTATTTTGTGAAATAATTGGATTTTGAATTATTAGTTCAATAAAAATGACTCAAAATGGAGCCGAGTATATCAGAAAATAATAATAAAACATCTGTCAAATCGGATGCGCGGTCGTAAAAAGTAGGTCACTTCATTCGTTTTTTCCTGATCTTTTCAAATATTGAAACAGATCTAAAAAATTTTGCCATACAGAGTGTTGTTTTTGATATAAAATAAGTTTTCTGTTTTTCTTCAAGACGGACCTGGATTCTGATCCCGATTTTCATTTAGTTTTGAATGGTAATATAATTGGAATAGTATACCAAGTATGGATAGATTATACAAAGTTGTTCAAAAGCTATGACCAGATGATGATTTTGCCAAAATCAAGATATCGTCCTGTATCTCAGCTATAAAACACGGTAGACAACACATCAAATGGAGGTGATATGGTGTCAACGGTAGTCGGGTGCGGGAAAGAATCACTTTCCGCACTTGTTAGGAAAAATTCTATTTCCTATCAGAGAGCCCAAAAGAAAATTCACTAGCTTGTCAGTGACAATTTGTATTGAAAAAAGCTTAGAGAAGAGAAATAAAGGTTTATAATAGAACAAACACTTTTCAGTTCTCAGTGATAAATTGGTGGCGTTGGCAATCAAATGAGTTACAGGATGTTTTCATTAATTAATCTTGAATTCACCATTTTCATCTTCAGATTCAGTAGTGGATACCTTGTTCTATCTATACCAACTGAACAGAAAGCGATGCTATTGTGTCCGTTTAGAAGAATGCAAGCAGATTCCTTCATTTTTCTCTTCTGGTTGTTATCTTTTTTTCCAATGATTTTAATATTAATCCATTCTGCCATATGTTGTCCATCTTCAGTAAGGATATGTTCAGCTAGTTTCGATTTGTCGATGTGTCTTTTCTTTATATTGTACTTATGTTCCTTCGTCCTTACTGAAAGAGGTCTCTTGGTTTCACCTGTATAAAACTTTCCACGAACAGTAGGTATACTGTGAATACAATTTTTCGACGATTGTTCTTCATTTTTCGGTTTTGTTAGAATTGATCCCATTGTACTTTCAGTTTTGGACACAGTTTTCACTTGAAATTCATCACCAACACGTTTTATTTTTTCAGATATGCCGTGAATGTATGGTATCATATTTGTCGTTATTGATCGTTGATTTTGTTGTGGTGGACCTTGTTTATTTTCAATTTGATGCATCGTCCTATCGACAAAATTCTTTGGATAGGAGTTTAGTTGGAGAACATTTCTAATGTGGTGGACTTCGTTATTGAAAATTTGTTGGTCAGATGATATTGTTTTGGCTCTATCATGGAGTTATTTGATTATTCCTTTCTTAATACTTTTCTGATGATTTGATCGAAATCTCAGGTATCTGATGTTATTTGATTTCTCAATAAAAACATCTAGAAATGGTAACTGATTGATAGATTCAATTTCCAAAGTGAACTTTATGGTAGGTTTGGCTTGTTCACATAATCCAGAAAATTATCTAGCTCCATAAGGTTATTTGGCCAAATTATGAAAATATCATCTACGTATCGCCACCATGTTTTAGGTTGTTTGTGGTAATTTTCGATGATGTTTTTTTCGAAATTCTCCATAAATATATTGCTAAAAATTGGAGATAATGGCGATCCCATCTCAATTCCAAAGTTTTGTTGATAAAACTCATCATCCAATTGAAAATATGTTGTGTTTTGACACAATTCCAAACATTTATTTTGCTCATCGTCCTAGTATGAATGAACAAATTCAAAATTATATCCACTAGTAGTTGGAGCTCACGATGATGTCGTTTTAAAAAATTAGTGGTCTCCCCCTTGATATATTACATGTTTTATGAAAAAATGTATGCATTCATGTTATGTTATTCGAAAATTATTTCCTTTAGGGATTGACTGTTCGTGTCATTAGGCAGCCGAAAAACGTGAAAGGACAATCTTTTCAGCACTTTCACTGTATCATTAGGACGTAACTGAAATACCTTGATCGTCATGTCGCATGTTCAATTTTTATTTTAGCGACACGAAAAAAGTGAATGGGTAGCGATTGTTGGATTTCTACATACTTGGAATTTAATCGCAAACCATCGAGTTGAAAAATTATTATTAATTATAGTGCACGCACGAACTCAGAAAAACACTATCGAGATTGATGAAAAGTGTAGCACATAAGGAGATTTTAATTAAATTCAGTCATGGTTTTACCACAATCGTTATAATAGGGAAAGCTTTCATTTTAATTCAATGAAAAACAATCAAATGAACCTATAACACTATTTTCGGGTATGCAGTAGGTGGAAACAGGTACCTGCCTCCAAAATATTCTTTTGAATGAACCTAGATGTATTTCCTTCATCAAAGCTGGCATACCATCGCCCATAATCATGCAAAGCAAAAGCATAGAAAATATGACAGTGCAGCAGAAGACATCAGAGCTAGCTTCACTGCATTGATTTGTTCTGCTGAAGGTGTATTACACCAAGAATATGCCGTTTTTCAGAAATGTTCAGCAGATATACATTATCACGAAGATGGAAGAAGCCGTTTTCTCACACAATATAGGGTGGATTCGCATACAAGGGCAAATGTCCATAATCAGAGCATAAAATATCTACCATATGAGGACGGGGCAGCTTTACCTATTTCATTCCATATTTAAATTTGTTCATCATTGAGTTTTAATTACTTTTTCTTATATTTTTACATACTATTTTATTGATATCTATGTTGAAATATCCTTATAAATGTGACATATGAGGGTTGATTAAAATATTCATTTTATCTTCAAGACATTTTTATTTCATATACCTTTATATGCTTTCAGCTCAGTTCATCCAAACAACGCTGTTCATTTCACTGATTATTGAATTATCGATTTCACCGCGCGTTATAGTACTTGTGACGTCAGTATCGTTGACGATTTTCTGGTGTGTTCTAACAAGAGTATTTCTTTAGGAATTATTTATTTTGGGAACAAGAATGTTTAAGCAATTCAGTGTCTTTTTTCCTCCTGATGGAATTCATAGGGCCAGTTGCATGAATGATGATGCGATCACTAATTGATCATTGCTTGAAAGTTGCATACACTGAGAGAAAACATCCTTTGTTGTTAACAAATCGACTTATTCAGGCCTTGGTAGTTTAACATCAACAATTTTCATTCGATCTTACGAAATATTATTAGATATATCCCAAGCCTTGCCAAAACAGTCCTCAACAATATACAAACGATTTGATACCAACTCATTTCTTTATTATCAATAATCCTGTTTGACATTTAAATAATTTGTAGATTATTATATCATAGCAAGTTTGCATCTTCACCATTAGCATTGATTTTCTAACAGTTAACTAATATTTCCGTGGATGAAATGCTTCATGATCGAAGTTAATGAATCGGAGTTAATTATATATTAACAAAAAATATTCATTACCTTGTAATGAAAGAGATCACGTGTTCAATTTGTACCAATCAGATTTCGCGTATATGTCGAACAAACTTTATGCTGTGGGTCGAGTCAGTCTGATGAGGACATTTCAGTTGATTCCGTGTGATGAGCGGCCATCAACTACGCGGATATGCATTCAATATTGTATGTCATATACCTACCAGATGAATGAATGAACGAGTGAGTATATACTTTGTTTCATTTTTTCATATAATTTTATCAGCAAGCTCAGTACATTTTCTTTTTAATTTTTCAGTTACATACAGATGAAGAGAGGAAATATTTCCATTTTGAACAATATCAACATGTGTTGAGACTGAACGAATTCTTCAAATGTGCATGGCGAAAACCTATATATCGAAATGAAGTCAAAACTTGCTTGGAAATCAATGGAACTAATGGAAGAATCAAATTTATAGGTTAATATATATTTCTCATGAAGTACTCGTTTATCATTATCAATTGATTCACCAAATGTA